GACCCGTATATTAACATTGATGCAGGAACATTCTCTCCTTATGAGCATGGTAAGCAAAATGTATTTCTTTTTTCTTGTTTAAAAATAATTATGTAATATGTGAGAGAAAATGTCAGCCCCTGGAAATTGTGTGTATTTTGCATTCCATGACCTCCACTTCCTGCCTTCTGAGAGGGGTCCTTAGCATAGCAGAGTGATGCTTTTCTCAGTTGGACAGAGAAGAAGCAGAAATCTTAATAGGCAATGGAGTGAATAGAGTTCAGTGGTTTCTGTAATAGGAATGATATTTTAGGTAGCTGAATGAAAGTTTGTCTCTTCTCTTGAAGAAAGATATCTGGTGACACAGTAACTTTCTTCAGATATTTGAGAAGAGGGATTATGTTTATACTTTGTGGCCCCAATCTTTAGGAATAGGATGGGTGGATAGAAGTTGTAAGGCCATGGATTTTGGCCCAGTGTAAGATCTTTATAATAGTAAGTGCTCTCCAAAAGTGGGGTGAAGATTTTGTGAGTTCCCTTTGCTAGAGGTGTTCAGACAGAGGCCAAAGGACCACTTGTAGGAATTCAGGCAACGGATAGATGTTGGATTTCGATGATCTGTATGCTTGAGATTCTATTTTGCTAACAGAGTTTGGATAGTAAAAACAAGCATCCTTCGATGCTTGAGTGAAAAGGAGAAACCGTTAAGGTAGGGTAGGAAAACAGCACTATACTTCTTTGTTATTGCTGATTACTACCAACTGTGTGATGAGTAACTGTCTGAATCGCCTAAGAGTAATTTCTTAAAATTGGGGGTAGATGTACTATTGAGACATGTTAAAAAATACTTCTCAAGTATTTATTTATTTGTTTGTTTGTTTGTTTCTTTATTTTTGGCTGTGTTGGGTCCTCGTTGCTGTGCACAGGCTTCCTCTAGTTGCAGTGAGCAGGGGCTACTCTTCGTTGCGGTGCGCGGGCTTCTCGTGGTGGCTTCCCTTGTTGCAGAGCACAGGCTCTAGGTGCGCGGGCTTCAGTAGTTGTGGCACGTGGGCTCAGTAGCTATGGTTCGTGGGCTGTAGAGCTCAGGCTCAGCAGTTGTGGCGCACGGGCTTAGTTGCTCCGCGGCATGTGGGATCTTCCTGGACCAGGGCTCGAACCCGCATCCCCTGCCTTGGCAGGCGGATTCTTAACCACTGCGCCACCAGGGAAGTCCCTCAAGTTTTTAAATTGTTTTCATACTCCTACTTTCTAATGTGAAGTAAAAATCTATGAGTGTCATCAGAGCAAAAATCTTTATGTAATAAACAGTGTCAGGAAGGATGGAAAAAATTGGAGCAATATTTCGGCATTCCTGAGAGCAGAGGATGAGGGAAAAACAAGACCATTTTTACTTTCCTATTTTGGGGCTTGTCTCCCATTGTGATGGTAGGAAGGCCCCGTTTGGGGCAGAATTTCTAGAATGACATTTCGAGGAATGATTGTTAAACAAAGGAATAGGAGGAAACTTGAGCAATTTCACACCTTTGTTTTGGACTAAAGTGTGGCCCAAAAGCCGATTTTTATAATCAACACGACTGTAACATATATACCTTGTTTAAGTTTTTGGATCAAATCCTACTTTTATCACATTCAAACCTTTCTCTGCTCAGGTAGGAGACTTGAGACAAAAGTTCTTTTTCTTTAGGTGGCGGATGCCATACCATGTGAAGTTCCCTGTGTCTTGCTTGGCTGTAGTTTCCTTCTGTTCATTCCATGCTGTTTCATGACAGAATCTTCTAATTCAGACTGAGTTTGGCGATAAACTGGAAGTATGGACTTAACCTTTTGCAGAATGATTGGCGATTTTTCTTTCTTGTCATATTTACTTTTCTGGAAATAAATTTCCCTGCTTCCTGTCAAGTTAGTGCAGACTTTGTTCTTTTCAGGTGTTTATATTTGGGAACTCAAGTTGTGCCATGGTATTTGTATCTTTCATGCACCCTAACCATTATCACTGTTCACTGCAGGTGAGGTTTTTGTGCTGGATGATGGTGGGGAAGTAGACCTTGACCTGGGTAACTATGAACGTTTCCTTGACATCCGCCTCACCAAGGACAATAATCTGACTACTGGAAAGATCTATCAGTACGTCATTAACAAGGAACGCAAAGGAGATTACTTGGGGAAAACCGTCCAAGGTAATACTGGATTTGCCTTCAAGGTTTAAAAGTCTTAGCCAGTTTAATTTCTTTTGTGTATAAAAATGTGCCTTTTATGCAATTTCATCATGAAAGTATCAAGGTATTGTTACTGAACCATGTCTTCAGTTGAAAATTCAGAGTTGCATGGCTGTTTACTCAAAAAGTAACTTGAGTAGGCTCCCGCCTCTCTGTGAATGGCATTGAAGCTGACAGTCCAGCTTCATGATTTGGGTAATGAGACAGGCGTTAATACCCGTGGATGAAGATGGCCTGGAGCCTCAAGTGTGTGTTGTTGAGGTTTGTTGAGTCTGTTTGGAACTCCGTGGTACCTGTGCATGTGACCAGGTGTACATTTTCTCCTCCTTAGTCACCCACCAGCAACTGATAAGCCAGTTGCCTGTGAAACCCTTGACCCGCCTAAGGGCAGCGTGGCAGGTAAGGGCACAGTCACCATCATGTGGAGTGGCTGCACCATCGAAAGCAATACTTCGTTCGTGCAGTTCTCCTTTTTCAGCATTTATACATTTGCTTAGTATGAATTGTACTGATAAGAGTGGCATGACGCATTTTCGTCTGTCTCTCGAGAAAGTCAGGTGACCTGACCTTCAGCTTTCCTCTGGCAGGAATGTTCATCCCTCTGAATGAGGCTTTTTTGGTTTTAGTTTCTGTTGTTTTTCCACAGTGATGAGTGTGAAGTGATGACAGCAGCTAGGTGAGGGCAGTCAGCCAGACGGTGTATGTTGTGCATCTGGGACGTTCTGTGTATAGACAGGGAGAAGGAAATGGACTCCCATTGTGTCCATTGGCCTTTGGGCTGGTCATGGGTTAGAGGGAGTCTGAGAAGCAGGTCTCTGGGTCCTCCTGAGCTTTCACCAGTGCAGCGTCTGTCTGTCTGCTGGGTGGAGGTTTTGCACAGCGATCATTTGAGGCTAGCGCTGCTTTTCAGAAGTGGGTGTTGGAAGGCCACAGGTCTAGTATGATGGCATAAGTCCAGATTTGGGGGCTTGCTGAAGAGTGGCTCTCATCTGAGTTATGAGAATAAATCTGCTTTTGACTTTGGACTTTACTGGACTGAAGGCTGAGGGTCACGCTGACAGCTATCTCTCCCCTGGGGCCACCCTGGCCGGATTCTGGGCTAGGGGGTCATGTGTAGGTCTTAGCTCTGCCACTTAACCAGCTTTGTGAACATGGGCAGATTACTTCCCCTCTTTGAGGTCTAATTTCCTTTTCTGTGAAATGGGGATAATAACAGTACCTACCTATCCGGGTTGCTGGGAGAATTAAAGGAGCTCAGTCAGTCGAGTATTTCTCTTGAGTTCTCAACACAGAACGGGATCAATTAGGAGTTGCAGTGATCTTGATCATACAGTTTGCTGTTCTAGGCCTCTAGTGTATTAATTCATTTATTCACTCATCAGCGATTTCTTGAGTGCCCAGTGTGGTCAGACCTTTGCTGATACTGGGAGTGCATGATGAACAAGCCCAGTGAGGCTGTTGTCCTCATGGAGGTTACCTTCTGGGAGAGAAAAAAACAAACTGGTGAAGTGAGTTGTCTGATAGGAGCTGAGAAGGAACTAAATAGAGTGAGGAGAGAGAGAGAGAGAGAGAGAGAGGTGTGGAAGGCAGTCTGGACAGGTGGTCAGGGAAAGCCTCCAAGAGAGGGCGTTTGAGCTGGGAGGCCAGCCCTGGGAAGAGCAGAAGGGGTGCTCGGCGCGGACCCAGGGCCCCGGCTGCAAGGGGGCTGGTCAGGGACCAGGAGGGAGACTTCCTGCACTGAGACCAAGGGGCAGGTGGGAGAGGTGGGCTGCAGCCAGGTTCCACGGGGCCCCCTGAAGGGCCACGGCATAGAGGTTGCATTTTACTCAGAGCCGTGGGAGGCCATTCGGGAGTTTAAGCCTGGGAGTGGTGAACTCTGAGTTGCATTTTAAAAGACCACTTTGGCTGCTGTGCGTGGAATAGGTAATATCCTGTGCTTGAGGCACTGCCGGTTCTGTACATAGCAAGTTAAACAGCAGTCTCTGCCCCTTAGGAGCTGGCCTTCTGAGCCCCACGACTGTGGTCTAAAAAGAGCTGAGCCATGGCTGGGGTTCATGAGCACCGTCACGCAGGGGCTCTGCTCAGCATCTCCCCAGTGCTCTGTCGCTACATTTCCATGACTTCAGGAAGTAGAAGCTCTTACCTCCAGTTAACGGATAGGGAGATCGAACTTATGAATAGTTAGGTAATTTGCCCAAAACCCACACCTGACGAGTGGTGGAACTGAGACTTGAATCCAGGCGTTCTGGCCCTGGATGCTGTGCTCCCGACCACTGCTGCACTTCCCTGTCTCTGCAGTAGATTATCTACCCTTGGGTAAGCTGGAAATGTAATGGAACAGGGTCCTGGTGCTCCCTTGTCCTTGAAAAAGGGTGTGATATGCTCCCCCCCCGCCCCGCCCCAGCTGTAAGCAGTAGGAGTGGCCAGGGTAGATTCTGCTTTGAGGCCACTGCTCTGGGGTGGCTCAGGTCACCCCTCGAGTCCTTACTCTCCTGTGGGGCTTCTAGTCACAACCAGGAAATCTGGAAGGGAGGCCGGGGGTAGTGTGATTTGTTAAGAGCATTTGGGTCTCGAAAATACTGTTACGGCCCACTGCTACTCTGCAGTTTGTTGTCACAGAGGGTGTGTCTGCCTCAATTGATGCGGATGGGACGGGATGGGACGTGTAGGTCACGTATGTCCTTTCTCTTCCTCAGTCGTCCCGCACATCACAGATGCAATCCAGGAGTGGGTAATGAGACAGGCGTTAATACCCGTGGATGAAGATGGCCTGGAGCCTCAAGTGTGTGTTATTGAGGTTTGTTGAGTCTGTTTGCAACTCCGTGGTACCTGCGCATGTGACCAGATGTACATTTTCTCCTCCTTAGTCACCCACCAGCAACTGATAAGCCAGTTGCCTGTGAACCCCTTGACCCTCCTAAGGGCAGCGTGGCAGGTAAGGGCACAGTCACCATCACGTGAAGTGGCTGCACCATCGAAAGCAATACTTCGTTCACGCAGTTCCTAAGAGTGGCATGACGCATTCTCGTCTGTCGCTTGAGAAAGTCAGGTGACCCGACCTTCAGCTTTCCTCTGGCAGGAATGTTCATCCCTCTGAATGAGCCTGTTTTGGTTTTAGTTTCTGTACTCCTGCTTTGCTGATCCTAGCTGTTGGATCTCCGTGTTCCTGTGAAAACAGGAGACTCAAAAGTTCCAGCAGTTGGTTTATAACTGCTTTTTAATATAGAAGTTATTTATGGCTAAGTAGATAAGATTTTGATTTCTTTGCTTTGTGACTCTTCATACAAATAAAATTCCTAGTGTGTCTTTCACCTGACTGTTTTCTTGAAATGATGTGGAAAGATCCATGATAACCTTGGGGAATGTTGAACCTATCATAAAAAGTAATCTTTTAGCACAAAGAAAAACGTCCAGTGTCAGTATGTTAAATGACATTTTATAGGCCCAGGGAGTCTGCGTTACAGTGTTACTGATCATTGAATTGAGATGACAGAGTATGGTTGTTAGACACCTGAACCACAAAAGGAAGGTTTAGTGCTTAACCTCTAAATTAACTTTGTTCTTCTAGCTTGGTGGGACAGTAGGAGATATAGAAAGCATGCCCTTTATTGAGGCCTTCCGTCAATTCCAGTTCAAGGTCAAAAGAGAGAACTTCTGTAACATTCATGTCAGTCTAGTTCCTCAGGTAAGGCATTCAGAGCTTTACTTTGGGGGATGGAGAGGAGGGAGGAGAGGATGGTTTTCATTCCTTATCTGTTTCAAATATTTGAGGTGCAGGAAGCAGGGAATAAAACACTTCTTTGTGAATTTTAAATTATTATAATCATACTTTTTGAAAAGATCAAATGGAAACCACTTGGAAAACTAATCAGGGAAATTACAGTTAAAGACAGTGGGTTGCATGTGTCCATTTGTCTTTACTACGTGATGAAACTCCACTACAACTGGAGTAGAGGGAATTTCTTTTTAAGGCAAAAATTCACAAAGATAAAATACTCTGAATGGAGTCAGTAGTGACAAAAATTAGGCAGGCAGAAAGCAGATGGCCATGTAGAAATGGACTGAGCAGACCTGGGAGAGCTGGATTCTAAGCCTGCAGCGGAGAAAGCAGGGAAGCAACCCTGCTTGCCCTGCAGAACCCCAAAGACTCAGGAATGGGCAGCACCGGGCACCTCTGGGGCTGGGGGTGGGACTCGTTATAACTGCCGTTTCAGAAGCACTTAGACCCTGGCATCCCCTTCCCTGTTATGCACAATTGGGCATCAGTCCCTCTCCCATCTTGGCAGAGAATGTAGGCTTTCTCTGGATGAGCAGGCACTAGGGACAGTGTGATTTCTGCTACTTGATTTGCAGAATCATCACAGCCAGGCAGGGACCGTCTACGTAGGAGATTGTAAGATTCTTCTTGGGGTATGCAACTAACCCAGGAGAAAACACACTGCCCTCAGAGGCTCCTCAGTGAAAACAGACCAGCCAGATTCCCGCAGTGAGGACCCTGGTGGACAAGGTCGCCCACTCAGAGAACTTCGGTTAGCTTTTAGAGTGAGCCGGCAGCTGGCGATCACCAGACATTTGGAGAAAGCATTTAGCGTGCAAGAGACCAGAACAGAAAAAACAGAGGAAATTGAGGCTCTGCAGGGAGTAGGAAAAGGAAACCTTAGAAAAAGAAAACAAAGCAACATATCAGTAGTATCCTCAGAATTAAGAGGAGGTAAACTGCATCTGTTACACGAGAGCTGGGTACCTTAAGAAGAGAACATTCAGAGGATAGATAAGAATTCTTGGGAATTACAAATTGGATAGCAGGAGTGAAAAAGAAGTTTAAGGAAATACCCAGGAAGTAGAGAAGAAAGGTCAAGAGAGAGAAAATAGGAGAGAAAAGGCAAGAGAATTAGAGGCTGGTCTAGGAGTTCTGATCCAAAAATGGGATTTTCAAAAAAATAATAGAAATGGAGAGGGAAGTGTGATGTGAACCAGAGGTCAACAGACAGGCCAAATCAGCCCACCCTCTGTTTTTGAAAATAAAACAGCTATGCCCATTTGTATTAAAACATTAATAAGAACCTACTGTATAGCACAGGGAACTCTACTCAATACTCTGACCTATATGGGAAAAGAATCTAAAAAAGAGTGGATATATATGTATATATGTATAACTGTTTCACTTTGCTGTACAGCAGAAACTAACAACATTATAAATCAACTATACTCCAGTAAAAATTAATTTAAAAAAAATCAGAGTTGGGTAGTTGTGACAGAGACTGTGGCCCACAAAACCTAAAATATTTATTGTCTGGCCCTTTATAGAAAAAGTTTTCTGATTCCTGATCTAAATAATTCAAGGAAATTTCCAGATAGGAGTTTCTAGATTGGAAGGGCCCACTGAACGCTCAGCCTATTAAATGAAAAATGACCCCCACCAAGGCACATTGTTGTGAAATTTTGGAATAATGGGGCAGAAATTCTAAAAAGAACTCTAAAGAAAAAAACCAAGAGTCATTATGGCATTAGACTTCAACAGCAATCCCGAAAGCTAAAAGATAGTGAAGCTGTTTCCTTAAAAATTCTTAGGGAAAATGACTTCTAACTTAGAATTCTGTACCCAACAAATGTATCTTTAAGTGTGAGAGGAGAATAAAGAAAATTTAGTACATAGAAAACTCAGCATATCAACAAAACCAAAAAACCAACCAAGGAAAACAAATAATTGGGCCAGAAAGGAAAAGTTATGGCACGTGGTTTTCATTGTACACAGTATGTAAATACTCAAAAGTATGTAAACACTGGAGAGGGATCATGAAATAGGGGTTGCATACACAGGGCAGGGCGTGTAATGGGGGCAGGGGAATGAAAAGAGTGGATTCCTTTCCCAACAGGAAGTCAATAGAAAATGCCTCAAACGAAATGTCAAAGAAGTAGCAGGAAAGCATACTAGGAGGATCATCCAAGAGTGGGAAAGTGAAGGACCTACGGTGTAGCACAGGGAACTGCGTTCAGTATCTTGTAATAACCTATAATGGAAAAGAATCTGAAGAAGATATATATATATATATATATATATATCACTTTGCTGTACACCTGAAACTAACATAACATTGTAAATCAGCTGTACTTCAAATAAAAAGAAAAAGTGAAAGAGTGGCTATCTCTAGGGTTTGGAAAGGGGAAAGGGTAGACAGGGCTGCTACTACTGCTTTTAGGACAAACCGTACAGAACTACTTGACTCTCATATATGCATGTGTAACTTTGACAAAAATAAAAACTAGGTAAATGGTCAAATTATCTATTATAAAAAGAGGTTCGGGGAAAAGTCACAGCTGAAAATTCCTTTTCATAGAGAAATTAACTTTTTTTTCCTTCTGTAACATAGCCAAGTTCAACAGGGGAACAGAAGACTAAACCCACCCAGAACAGTGTTCGGGAACTCAGAGGGCTTGGGCTTTCCCCAGATCTGGTAAGATTTCCTGGTTACCTCGTTTCAGAGTGATCTTATGTGTCTAATTAAGATCACGCCTCCATGGCAGCCAAAACCTTTTCTTGGCCCCCATTTAGTTAGCCGAGCCGATGGTGGGGAAGTAGGGTTAGTGCTGAGTGAACTGGGTTGTGGTTTGCAAAGATTTTCTTACCTGGTGTGTGTGAGGTCCTGTCTTCTCCTCCCAGCCGATCATTCATTCTCCTGTCCCTCCTACCCAAGAACATCGGTTGAGGAAAAGTCCAGTTGGCTCATTAATCTGTCTGTCCTGCCACTCTCTCATGTTTCTCCAACTTGGGATTTAGGAATTTCAGTTTTGAAGACAAGTAACATTTTTGCAGTTTGTGTGCATCGTGCTAGGAGTTAACATTTCCATCCAGCTTGACAATGTGGTGTCTACTTTAATTTCAGCCAGGAGAAAAAACCCAATTTTGTAACCCCTTGTGTCCATCCAAATGTCTAGGTTGTGTGCAGGTGCTCAAATCCTCTCGACACGTCAGTGAAAGAGAAAATATCAATGTTCTGCCATGTTGAACCTGAACAAGTAAGTAGAAATCCCATCTTCACATAACTTATTTTTTGCTGCTAATTATCCTAATGTCTCTTAGCCAGTTTCATGAGCCTTGTTGTTATTTCATAATTTGAGACGGTAGACTGTTCTGTAGAAGAACTGACACCCACCGGCCCTGTGATTCTCCATCACCTTATTTTCTGTGGTTCCCCGAACATCTTTTACCTCTCCTGTCTGTCCCCGCTCCTTGTACTGTTTGCTCCAGCCGTGCGGAGTGGGTGTTCCCCTCTCCCTGTAATAGGCCTGGCAATCTCCTATTCATTTTCATCCTTTGGAGCCCAGCTAGGACACAGTATTGTCTGAGTAGCTTTACCTTCCAAACCTCCTCAAACCTCAGGGTTAATCTTCTCTGAGTGACCTGTGTGTCTCACAGGTCCTGGTGGTAAGCCTGTCATACTGCCCCTTAGTGTGTAAGTGTTCCTGTGTGTCTGTGTGTTCGTCCGTGTTTGTCTCTCCTCATAGACTGAGCTTCTTGAGGGCAAGGATCACTTTATTCAACTTTATATTCCTGTTGCCTGCTGTCTAAGGTGTTGTAGGCCCTAAACATATAGTCTTTTTTGTTACTTGTGCTAATGGAGGTTACCTATGGTACAGGAAATTCAACATTTTGGAACCTGTGATATTTCTAAGTGTGGTGCGTGTAATGGAAATTCCAGTGGTGGTAAGTTGGGATTGTGGCTTTGATCAGGTTTGGCTGAAGGTGAGTAGAAGGGAAGTTGAGGTCAAGGAACGTATGATTAGGTTATGGATGGTTTGTTCTACTGCTAGGTTATTTGAGGATCAGGAGACTAAGCGGGGAGCCCACCTGGCCTAGAGAGGAGTGGATGAGGGAGCAGGGTTAAAATAAGAGAAATCCGGGCTTCCCTGGTGGCGCAGTGGTTGAGGGTCCGCCTGCCGATGCAGGGGACACGGGTTCGTGCCCCGGTACGGGAAGATCCCACATGCCGCGGAGCGGCTAGGCCTGTGAGCCATGGCCGCTGGGCCTGCGCGTCCGGAGCCTGTGCTCTGCAATGGGAGAGGCCACAACAATGAGAGGCTGGCGTACCGCAAAAAAAAAAAAAAAAAAAAAAAAAAAAGATCTAAAATAAGAGAAATCCATTCACAAGGCTTCTAGGAGTATGGGAGAGAATATAAAACAATTAAAGTCATTGCCCTGGCATTAAAGTGAATAGAGCAAGAGGAAAGCCTTTGACTATTAGAAGCAGCTGTTCTCTCCATCTCCACGATGGCTCAAGCTTCAGGGTGTGAGGGTAGCCTGACACCTGAGATCAGTGTTCCTGGACAGGATGCCTGAGCCAGGAGCCCATCAAAGGGATTCTGCTTCGTACTAAGCACATGGAACATCAGAATACTTTCATTGTTATGAAGAGCCTTTTTTCATGCACTTCAGTTATTTTAGATATTTCTGTCCCAGCAAGTGAAGGTAATTCAATTCTATAATAGGATAGGTTATCATTAAAATTAGTTACTATTAAAAAATGTGACAGTTGTTTCTATATTTAAATTGGAACTTCACATCTTTTGCCTGTTTTTAATTGGGTTGCTTATCTCATTGAGTGATAGGAGTTCTTTATATATTCTCAGTGCAAGTCTTTTATCAGATATATGATTTGCACATTTTTTTCTCCCAGCTTGTGGTTTGTCTTTTCATTTTCTTTTGGTTTTATTTGTCTTTTTTTTTTAATTGAAGTATAGTTGATTTATAATGTGCTAATTTCAGGTGTATGTCTTTTCATTTTCTTAATGGTGTCTTTGGGAGCATAAAAGCTTTTACATTTTGATGAACTCCCAATTTATTCATTTTTTTCTTTATAGGTTGTGCTTATGGTATCATATCTAAGAACTCTACTTAACCAAGGTCATGAAGATTTTCTTCTGAAGTTTGATAATTTTAGGGCTTAACACATAGGTCTAGGATTCATTATGAGTTAATTTTTATGGATAGTAACTTTTCAGTAAAATTTGCAATTCATGTTTTTGCATGTATAGATATCTATCTCTTCCAGCTCCATGTGTTGAAAGAACTTTCAATAATATTCTACAATTTTCTTTTTAAAGGTGGTTTTTAGGCTTATTTATCTTTGTGAATTGTGTTTTAAATTTATTTATAGGTATTCATAATTTTTGTTACTATGTGAATGGTGTATTTTTAAAAATTATATTTCCTGATTAAATAAGACCCATATATAGGAAACCCTGCTGACTTCTGCCCATTGATCTCAAGCTTAGCAACCTTACTAAAATTGTTAGTTCTGATTAAAAAAATTTTTTTTTTACTTTTAATTTTTTTGGCTGTGTTGGGTCTTCGTTGCTGTGTGCAAGCTTTCTCCAGTTGCGTCGAGCGGGCTTCTCACTGCGGTGACTTCTCTTGTTGCGGAGCATGGGCTCTAGGCTCGCGGGCTTCAATAGTTGTGGCTCACGGGCTCTAGAGCGCAGGCTCAGTAGTTGTAGCGCACGGGCTTAGTTGCTCTGCGGCATGTGGGATCTTCCTGGACCAGGGCTCAAACCTGTGTCCCCTCCATTGGCAGGCAGATTCTTAACCACTGTGCCACCAGGGAAGCCCCGTTAGTTCTGATTGTTTGCCTGTAAATTCCCGTGGTTTTTACGGGTGAGCAGTTATATTATATGCAATTAGTGGCAATTTTTTCTTATTTTCCAATTCATGTACATTTTTTTCTTATCTAATTGTAATAGCTAATATCTCTAGTACACTGTTGAATAGAAGTAGTGATTAGTGACCAGTTTTGCCTGTTTCAGACTTTAAATATTAAGCATTAATATTAAATATCAAACCAAATGATGTTTGCTGTGGGGTTTTTATATTTTCACATTTTCTCTAACACTCCTAATTTACCAGGAGTTGTTATTATGAATTGGTTTTGAATTTTTATTAAATCTGCTTCCACTGAGGTGATTTTCCCTCCCACTTTAATCTATTCATGTAGTGAATTCCACTGTTAAATGTAAGTGGTGTGGGGTGCAGCATGGGCTTTTGAATTTTTAGAAGCTCTCCCAGGTGATGCCAGTGACAGCCAATTTTGAGAACCATTGTTCTTGGGACAGTTCCTACTTGGACATGAATTTTTTTTTTAACTAATTTGTGGTTTGGTTTATGAAGGTTTTTTTTTTTAAGGATTTTTGCATCCATGTTCATAGGAGATTAGCCACTATGTATTCTGTTCTTCTTGAGTCAGTTTGGTAATTTATATTTTTTAGAAAGTTGTCGTTTTCTTTGTTTTCAAATTTAAAACAGTTATTTTCCCAAGGTCCTAAGAGCTGGTAGGAGTCCGTCAGCCCAGTTAGTTTTTGTTTGTTTTAATGAACTAACCTTTGCTCATTTTTAAACAGGTGATCTGTGTCCACGATGTCTCGTCCATCTACCGAGTCCCCTTGTTGTTAGAAGAGCAGGGGGTTGTAGATTATTTTCTCCGGAGACTTGACCTTCCTATTGAGAGGCAGCCACGGAAAATGCTGATGAAGTGGAAAGAGATGGCTGACAGGTTTGCTTCATAATAAGGGGCTGGGAGTTCGAGCCTTATTTCTTTTTTTTTCGTAGGAGCTCAGGGAATTCAGCTCTTTCTTACTTGTGCTATCAACTCACGCTAGAAAAGGCCTTCATGGTAAGGGGTGTAAAGAAAGGATCTTAGCCCTCATGTAGCTGCATCATGGGTGAGGAAGTCCCAGTAGAGCTGGCCCGGGTCCCGGGTCTCAGGGAGTTCCGATCACACAGCTATCACCCTTGTCTCCCACGCAAACAGGCCTCCTTGCGGTGGGTTGGCACTGGTATCCGAGGCCCACGTGGATGGCGGGATGTGGCCGGAGCACTCCTGGCTGCTCCCAAATATCTGAGCTGTGTTTGGGAACATGCTGCTCACCCCATACTACAAAAGGATCGACAAGGGGGTCCGGTCTTTTCTTCCTGCTGCTGTCAAAGCTCATCAGATTGAGAGCTGTCCCCACTCTGCTTGCCTCCTCGCTCTTGCACAGCACCTCACAGATCTTCACACAGCGCCTCGGAGCACTGGGCGTGTGGTGTCGTAGCTGCCGAGTCAGCTGGATGGCACTAATGAGCATTTGTAGAGGGAGCACGCGTGCTGTTGTTCAGCGATACCTATTTTCATTTTGACATTTTCCCTTTCAGTCTGTGTCCATTTGCTTGTATATCATTATGCAGCCACAAAAATGGCACAGTTTTATTTTTGTGTTACTAATTATACTTTATAATGAAAAATTTTAATGAGTACGGACTCTCGTGTGGATGCCCCATAATTTGACTGTTCCCTTCATCACATTAACTCTTGTGAATTGTCTGTGTTTGTTAATTTTTTAACTTAAAAAAAAAAAAAGAAAACCAAATTTGGAACGGATTTTGAAGCTATCTCTTTGTAACAGGTTCCAAAATCCTACTTTCTTTACAAAGCCTGCCACGTTGATCTGAAAATTGCTTCCTCTTTACTGTGCAGTACATAGAACACAGACAGTAGTTGCTCCTATCATATTTTTCCCAGACATGTTTTTCTTCTCTTTAAAAGGTGATTTTGACCTCACGGGGGTATGTACATTCTGAGTGATTTGGTGTTTCTTGACTTTTGTGTGACAGATATGATCGCCTGCTGGAGACCTGTTCTATTGCCCTCGTGGGCAAATACACCAAGTTCTCAGACTCGTACGCCTCCGTCATTAAAGCTCTGGAGCATTCTGCACTGGCCATAAACCACAAATTGGAAATCAAGGTGAGGAGGTGTCGCACACGTACAGGGAGGCCGTCTCTACTCTCAGGTGCTGCGTGCACACCTGCTTTGTGTTATTGGAGCTTAGAATTTCTTCTTTAGGAGTCAAAAGGATTTGTGGTTGGCTCCTGGCTGGGAGAGGACAGCCGAGCATTTTCAGGAAATAAGAGAAGATGTAGTCAGAGTAGAATCCCAGAGAGTGAATCCTTGGATCTGAACGTCAGGTGACCCTGGGAATGGGGAGTCCTGGTGGCTAAGCGTGCTGCACAGTTGCTGGCACCTGTGCCAGTGTCCCCCCCATGGAGCTGGGAGGTTTCTCAGGAACAAGTGTCCAGTCACCCAGCCGAGGCCGGGAACACGGGCAGCGCCCGGTGAACGGTAGTCACTGTGCTCTGCTCTGGACGTGCCAGGCAGAAGCTGAGCTGCTGGCGTGTCAGGCTGGAGGCAGTGGAGTGTCGAGGTTCAGGGCAGGGGCTCCAGAGCCAGGCGGCCAGGCCTCCGAGGCTGTGTGATGCTGGGCAAGCTGCTTAGCCCTCTTTGGGCCTCAGTTTTCCCATCTTTAAAAAGGGTTGTTGGGCTTCCCTGGTGGCACAGTGGTTGGGAGTCTGCCTGCCGATGCAGGGGACGTGGGTTCGTGCCCCGGTCCGGGAAGATCCCACATGCTGCGGAGTGGCTGGGCCAGTGAGCCAAGGCCGCTGAGCCTGCGCGTCCGGAGCCTGTGCTCCGCAACAGGAGAGGCCACAACAGTGAGAGGTGTGCGTACCGCAAAAAAAAAAAAAAAAAAGGGTTGTCACAGGGCTCTTATGATAAGAATTGAATGAGTTCATATAAAGTGCTTAGAACTGTACCTGGCAGGGAGTAAGTACCATATGTGTCAGCTCTTCCACTTGTCCCTTTATACCTTTTTTCCAGCAAGGTAGCTCCCAGATGGAGCCTATCAGGAAGAGATGGAAATTAGAAGTGAAGCTGGAGCTCAGCGCTGAGGGGTGTTGACTCGGGGGGGAGGGGGCAGAGCTGATGGCCCCGAGCAGCTGCCCTCGCTGTTGGCACTGGGGTTGGCCTCCTACTTTCCAGGGGCTTCTCGGCATGAAAGCGTGGCTTGCTTTATGCTGGTGAACAGGTGCCGAGAGGACGAGCTGTTACATGTGTTTTAAGAATTGTGGGATCTTGTTACCCTGCCCTGACTTACTTTTTTGCTAGTTCTTTCAATCATTCGTTTATTTTATCTCCTTGGAGGTAGCCTGTGCCGATCATGTGTTAGATGGTGGTGGCCGAGAGGGGAATCCGAGTCAGTGAGGTCTCTCAGGTGTGGAGGGAGCAGGCAGAAGAGGGGGCAAACCTGCCCTGGAAGACGTGTGAGGAGGGGCCCGTGGGCAGGTTGGGAAGATGGATAAGGTAGCAGGGAAGGGCATTCCCGACAGCAGGGAGCGCATATCCAAGGACTTGGAGGTGTGGAATGGTTGGGAACTCAGTGGATGGAAAAGTGTGAATTGGAGGGTATCTGGAGACAGGCTGGCGAGGGCCAGGTCATGAATCCCCTCAACTGGGCCACTCCTGGATTTTGCCCTGGGGTTCAGGGAAATCACCGCAGGGCAATAGGAAGGAGCAGGAAAAAAACGAACAACCTAATAAAAAAGTGGGCAGAAGATTTGAACAGACACTTCATAGGAGATGCACATGATATACACGAAAAGATGCTCAACGCCTTCAGTTGTCAGGGAGATAAATGCAAATTGAGTCTCAGTGAGATACCAACACCCACCCACCTGAGTGGCTGAGCGTGTCAGTGAGGGTGTGGGAGTGTAAACTGGTGCAGCTGCTTGAGGAAACAGTCTGGCGGTTTCATATGAAGGTAAACACACGCCTACTGTGTGTGACCCAGAAATCCCACTCCCAGATATTTACTCGAGAGAAATGAAAACATGTCCACCAAAAGAATCTATTTTTATACAAATGGACCAGTTAGTCATAACAGCCAAAATCTGGGGACAGCCCAGAAGTCTAGGACGAGTCGGTGGATAAACATGTCGTGTGGTGTATTCCTACAGTAGAAAAGTACCCAGCAGTAAAAAGGAATAAACTCCGTGGTGATACACAACAACACGGGTGGATCTCAGAGACATTGCAGGGAGCTGAAGGCGGCAGGCACAGAAGGCTGCACGCTGCATGGTTCCATTTGTCTGAAGTTCTAGAGGAGCTACAGCCTGCGGTGATGAAAGCAGAGCCCAGATTGTCTGAGGCAGGAAGCAGGGAGGACGGTGTTTGCAGGGGGCAGAGGGAACTGGGGGGGGGGGGGGTGACAGGAACTTTCTGGATCTTGATCGAAATGGTGGTCATACCTTTGTGTGCGTGTGGGACAAAACTCATGAAGTGCACACTTAAAATGCTTGTGTTTCATTGTGTGTAAATTATACTTCAACACAGTTGAGAAAAGTGAGAAGTGACCTGGGGGAAGATGGACTGGGGGAGACATCTTGAACAGAGAGGACTTCAGGGTCTGCGCTAGCGGACTGAGTGTAGAGCGGATGGACAGCCAGAGTTGGGAATTAAATGATTCGGGAAGGAAACTCATATTTTAAAATATAAGAAAGATCTTAAAGTTTATTTTAAAAAGATTAGTAAGTGTAAATACATTAGGGTTGTTTTTAAACTTTAGTTTAAAATTGAGAAAGATGGAGCGTTGGTAATACTGTTTAGAAATGGTGAGCGCTCAGGAGTCACGAGGCTGCTGCTTTTCTCTCCGCTCTGGCCGCTCCCAGTACATAGATTCCACGGACTTGGAGCCGAGCACCTTGCAGGAGGAGCCCGTGCGCTACCACGAGGCCTGGCAGAAGCTGTGCAGCGCTCAGTAAGCAGAACTCGCTACCTTTGCTTTCCAGGGGTTTGGGGTTTGTCTTAATGAACCAAGTGCTGTGCTTTCTTGTGCTGGTGGTAGGAAATCGGCTTGTTTCAATGTCTTTTAATTGCTGAAAGGACTACATACATACTGGATGACTGAAGCCTCACAAAAATATGGCTCATCAGTTTCATTAAATGTGAAGAAAGCGAGTTCTGATGTTATTGATAATGTTTACTGGATGCATCTGTGGATAAGGCTTATTATTTAAAGGTGTTTCACCCAGAACATTTGCTGAGTACCCGTCAGTCGAGTCTCATAAATAGTTCGTTTTGGGCAGCTCTTGTCTACAATAGTAAAAAGTCAAGCCTGAATATCTAGTTCACTAGAACAGCTGAATCTTACGGAGCCATACAGCCATGGTCAGTGTGGCCAGCAAAGGCCCCCTCCCTACTCAGGGGAGCACTTCAAGCCAAGAGGTAAAAAAATTGCAAACTTAAGGAAAGAATCCCTGCCTGGGACAGATACTGTGCAGAGGTGGTATTACAATTATGTACAACATCTTTTTTTTTTTTTTTTTCTTAACTGGTTGTAAGCATTTTCTGATGTTAGTAAGAAAGTGGATGGTTTTGTGTGCATTTTCTAAGTCCACAGTGTTTCTGCACAGCTCATTGGCAGTGTTGAAATCACAGTCCTAGCCCCAGCAGCCAAGTGTGTGGAGTGACTTCATGGCACCAGTGTCTTGGAAGTGACTCCTTGGAGGGTTATTGCGAGCTGGACTGGAAAGGGGTGCTTGTGGTATGCTCTCTTGCACAGTGGCGTGCTGGTTCCAGGAGGATTTGGTGTCCGAGGGACTGAAGGAAAAATCCAAGCGATCTCCTGGGCTCGGAAACAGAAGAAGCCTTTTTTGGGTAAGGAGTAGGAAAGACAAGAAAAGGTGCCCCGTGGGAGCCTGTAAATAAAACGGAGATCATCGAAACCAAACATAGATGCCATCCTTCCAGATAGCAACTCAAGTATAAGCCTTTTTGGTTCTGTTTTTTGAGAAATTCCAACTGGTCTTTAAAAGGAAAAATTTAAGCTTGAGCTCCACGTGGCTGTCATGGAATTTTGAGAGAATGAAATAGCAATTAGGAAATCTTGTCCATTTACTGGACCCAGCTGTTTGGCAGGACATGTGAGACTGCGTTTTATATGCTTATTTGGAACACCAGCTGTCTAATTGGGCAGAATGATTTTGGATGCTTCCTGGTGCTGTAAATTTTAGTCATTTCCAACACGACCAATCGTAACTGGGAACTTAATGAGAGAGGGTAAGAAGACTTGAATTTTAAAGTACTGAAGAGAATATTATTTATTTCTAAAATCGCATGACTTCTAAAACCTGGAATCATCATATACTCTTAGACCCCGTTTTTGAAATCTGGTACAGATAAAGCATAGCAGGGGGTTGCATGTTTATAGCAGGGAATTACGAGAGTTTGTAATTGGAATTCTGGGAACAATCAGGACACCAAGTCCACGTAGGCGGGTTGGAAATGTGGGAACTGACTTTTCAATGGAGTTTCATGTGTTTTTCCCCTCCACCTGCAAGGCGTGTGCTTAGGAATGCAGTTGGCAGTGGTTGAATTTTCAAGAAATGTGCTGGGATGGCAAGGTAAGTAAGTGTCTACTTAAAAATTTGTTAACTTCTCACTTCAGTGTTTCTGGCAGCTGTTGGGTGAGGGGGAGCCATGGAGGCCAGGCCTGGTTTCTCAGTACCTCGCAGATGCAGCTAGGGGAGCTGCTGAATTTACTGAGGGAAAGCGCTGTCCTCCAAGGGAACCGCCAACCACCGGAGGAGGGAACACAGCTGAGCAAGTCGCCTGGCTCCGCCCCTGCAGCTGCTGCTCTGGCGATGCCCGCACTCCTGTCATCACGGCCACCGTCCCTGAGCTGGTGTCCGGCAAGGAAACTAACTCTGGCTGGTGTGAGGCTGTGTGGTTATTATGAACGTGGGTGCTGGAGCCGGTCAGACCTGGGCTCAGAGTTTGACTTTATCACTCAGGATGGGTGATTTTAGGCAAGTTACTTACTTAGTCTTTCTGGACCTCTGTTTCTTCTGTAAGATGGGGGTCATAGTGGTACCTACGTCACATGGTTGTAGGAGTTGAATGAAATAATGCCTATAAATAGTCCCAGCACAGTGCCTGGCACTTGGGGAATACTCACTAATATTGGCCCCATGCCTCATGGACTATATTACTGCGTCCAGCCTGAGAACTCAGTGGTTTCCTGTTTCTCAGCACTCCGTGGGTTGCGTGGACTGGCTGTGTGGTTTTCTGTTCCACGTGGTGTGTCTGAGCTCGTCCTGTCCAGCGGGGACAGGGGTTCGGTCTCATCGTTCACTAATTCAGCTGAGCTTCCTCACAGCGTGGCGACAGCCTGGCTCCCGAAATGACAGGCTTGCTCTGCCGGCTTTTACTGAGCCTGCTCGTGTCCCATGGCCGAGCCCAGCCAGTGGGGCAGCGGGCCGTACACGGCGTGAGCCCTGGGGTGCAGTGGCCCCATTGGGGCCGCCAAGGGAAGGACCTGCTACGGGACCCTTATGAGCTCTAAGAAAACTCAGCGGAGCAGCCCGAGAACCCGAGGAATAGAAAGACCGCCCAACTTTACCAGTATGATTCCCTGTGCCCAGCTGACCGTTAGGGCTGGGTTCACGTCATGTTTTTCACAGTAACCCCAAGGGGACGGTGGCTCAGTTCTGTAGGCATCACGCTCCCTGGTGCTGGCTTCTGAGCTCCTGGCAGGCACTGTCCTACCACCCGCCACCCTAGAGGTGCCCCTTGGGCACCCTGGACCCCTTCACAGCCATGATCTCCTGCTGCTGCACGCACTGGGGTCCCCAGGTGGATGAGTGACCTGGTGATGAGCTGACTTGCATCTGAGGCCTGGCCCTCGTGTAGGCCCCAGAGGGGGACGATGTCTCGCGTGTCGCACAGAAAGAGCAAGCAGACGCGCAGTGCCAGGGACTTGGTTCTTCCCGTTTTAGTCTTCAGTGGTTTCCCTTATGGTTAGTCGGTAAATTCAGTAAAGGATAGAAAGGTTAATTTTTGATTGAGCTCTTGAGTGGGGCAGTTGGGTAGTGCAGTGTATAAGATGCTGAGGATGAAAGAAATGAAGAAACGGTATTTGCCCATTGAGGAGAGATACAGTCTGAGACGAGAAGTGAAAAAATTGAGACAATATAAGCCGTCAAAAGGATGCAGTGTCTAGGGCTTCTCTGGTGGTGCGGTGGTTGGAAGTTCGCCTGCCGATGCAGGGGACGCGGGTTCGTGCCCTGGTCTGGGAGGATCCCGCGTGCCGCGGAGCGGCTGGGCCCGTGGGCCATGGCCGCTGGGCCTGCGCGTCCGGAGGCCCGCGTACCGCCAAAAAAAAAAAAAAAAAAAAGGATGCAGTGTCTAAACAAGGATTTGGAGGTTGGGCCGTCGGTCTTGACTTTCCGATTTCCCCACTTTGTGCAGCTTGACTTCGCAGAGGGCTACAGGTTTAACGGGAAAAAATTCACCTGTGTTTGTGTGTTGAGTATCTTATATCTTAAAAATGTCATCCCTGGTTTTGGTTCTAATCACTGAATAACTTTAAACTGAGGAGGGAAATTGTGATTTAGAGCTTAGGAATGAAACTTTTAAGAAATCAGTTTTGTTGTAACTATTTTTATAACAAAGGTATTTTGGTTTCTCAGATGCCAATTCTACGGAGTTTGACCCTAACACCAATCATCCTGTGGTGAGTCCAGTGTCTGGAGCATCTGGAAGGGTGTGGAAGGGGCGTTGATGAACGTGATTGAGGGCTGGAGGTGGGAAATGAGACCACTGGGTTCATTCCAAAGCACCCTGAGGTCCCGCGCTTTCAGACGTCCCAGGTAGGGAGAACTTTTATTTTTCATCGTGTAGTCTCTCACTACTCTTCCCAGTCTGCCACAGAAAGTTTTTAAGACAGGTGCCACTGCAGCCTGATTAAAGTAATTCTCCACCCCTGCCCTCCTACCTCCCAGGAGCGCTTTAGAACAATACTGACATGAAACACTTAGGCAGGCACTTATTATATACCAGGCACTGTGCTCACTGCTTTGTATATATTAATTCACTTAATCCCCAGCAACCCTCGGAGATGGGTGTTTTTTTAAAGAACTGCTGGAATTTAGTACTGATTGTGTGACGTAGGCCTGAGCCCTAGGTGGCTGGAGCCCTAGGAGGCTGGCATTCCTCGTGTTATGTCTCCCATCAGAGGAATGTGGCTCAGCTGGGGACAGACAATGCCTTTATTCATCTTTGAATCCCCAGCCCAAGCGTGACAGGCCTGTTCTTGATACTGAGGATGTTGTGATAAACAAGGTGGACAAGACTCTTGACCTCAGGGCACTTGAACAGCATTAGTATGTATTTATTGACCTGAAATTAAACTTTGCTAATACTCAGACCTCAGGAAGAAAAGAGCAGAGGTTTTGAAGCGTGGGACCCTGGGGAGGTAGGGGAGCACAGAGAAGGCCTCCCAGGTCAGAAGGTGCTCGGGGGAGCGGGCAGTGGGCTGGGCTGTCACAGCTGAGGGGCCTCGGCCTCCGCGTCCCACAGATGTTCACCAAACTCTCCTGGTTCACAGCCAACCCCAGATGAGCATCCCTTTCCTCTGAGCAGCTGTCAGTCTGGTGGAGGAAACGTGTGCGCACATGTCTGGTTTGGTATCCACGCTGCTGTGTTAGTCTTTATTAGAGCAGGCACTTAGGATCCCAAGTGTCGGGGCAGGAGCGGCCAGGGGAGGGGGCAGCTGTGTCTGGTCCTGCGGCTCAGGAGAGCGGGCTGAGGATTAAACACTTACCCAGCAAAGGCTTAAGAATGATCACTGGGAGGCCTTTTCCTCTGCAAGTGTCGCTTCTGAGGAAAGGCTGGGCCCCCTCACGGGCTCACTGCGCTCAGTGCGGGCGGTCTGTCTCCTAACCGAAGCAGGGTTTGGTAGCACATGTTTGTTTTTGGAACGTCTCCAGGTCATAGACATGCCAGAACACAACCCTGGCCAGATGGGCGGAACCATGAGGCTGGGCAAGAGGAGAACCCTGTTCCAGACCACGAACTCTGTCATGAGTAAGAGCTGCCTCCCACGGGCCCAGCCTGTGGCTGGCATGTCCAGGACACACATCTTGGTGCTGCGGCCAGGCTGGCGTTTTTGGTTTTGTTCTTACTTTTGAAGTTCTTTATTCCTCTCCTGGTGACACTCCTTAGGATGCACTGTAATAGCCAAAGAAAGCACTGTGGCTCTTAGAAAGGTCACAGGCAATACAGCTGGGGACCTGGGGGACTTTGGGTGTGGACCCCTCAGCAGAATGAGGCGGTTAGGTGAAGTCCACTGCAGCCTTAACTCTCCTATCCTATCAGGTCGAACCAGATGAAACTGCTGATCTTGGTGACTTTTGTCCCACAAAAATTTTAGTCTCATCCGGTTCAACCTAAATAGATTTTATTCTACAAGTACTAATATATGCTAAAGACGTAGGGGAAATTTGAGGAGGAAAATACTTAAAAGAACTCGATTGGATTTTCTTTTCTTCCCACTGGGAACTGTCATCGTTGGCAGGGCACCCGTGCATCTATCTGGGGTTTGGAGGCACCGTAGTTTGCATCACTTGAGTAGGTGGTCGTCCAGTCCTCCGGCTCTAACGTCCTGTGGTTTGGGGGTCTCACCTGGCTCAGGGAAGACACCCGCTGGCACGGGCCGCGCTGGGTCCCCAGGCACAGCAGGTGCCGTGCGGCTTTGTGTGCCGCCAGAGCGCTTTGTGCCTCTGTAGTCACGTGTGAGAGGTGGTGGTGAAAGTCTGTTTCTGTTAGTTTTCCTTGGTTGCAAAGAGTCAAGGCCCAAGAATTAGTCTGAACTGTGCTGCTAGAGCAGGCGGTGGGGTCAGTAGGAGAGTCATAGAAGTAACCTTCAGAGGGCCTGGCCGGGTAGGATAAGAAGCAACCCGGGAAGCAAGATGTGGTTGTGAATAGCTTCCTTTGTGAAATCGGAATCCTTTACGCCAGCCTGCTTCTTTTGCCAGGGAAACTCTACGGAGATGCAGATTACCTGGAAGAGAGGCACCGCCACAGATTTGAGGTGAGGATTTGAGCTCTGTGACCTTTCACATTTTCTCCTTTCTGTTACGCCGGACACGCAGTCAGCTGAGAGCCCAGCAAAATTGTTCTTCATGCCTCGACAGGTGAATCCAGCCTTGAAAAAGAGTTTGGAGGAGCAAGGCTTGAAGTTTGTTGGCCAAGATGTTGAAGGAGAGAGAATGGAAATTGTGGAGTTGGAAGGTGATCACTTGGGCCGTTGTGTTTAGTGGGGAACTTAGGCTTTCTTGGCATGTGGGGAGAACACAGCAGTATAAGTTGTTGTCCTTGACCTAACCGCATCAGGCAGCGGCGCTGTCTGGGGGTCTTGGTGAGCGAGGTTTGGGGCCCCGGGTGGCTCACCCTTGCGCTGCGGCCTTGCCATTTGACCTCTGGCTTCAGGTCCTCGTTCTTCAGAATGAGAGCTTGGACTTGGTTCTCAAGCCTAATCTCACGTGACCTGCAGGACTCAATCCCGCGCAAGTCAGGGAGCTGGGGGTGGGGGTGGGGTGGCGAGGGGAAGGGTGGCAGGAACCTGGAGAGGAGGCGCCTTTGGCCGCAGGGTGACAGCGTGCAGGTGGGAGAGCATCGGTTCTCCCGTGCTTTGGGGTTGCCTCTACCCAGGCTCCCAATAAGTTGTTTTCAAATCATTTTAGGGTCTGCAGAAATGTGGAGCATTTAACCAGATTTTTCCCATCTTTCACATGTTACGCAGACACACAGTGAAGCTGGTTCTTTCGCATTTCTGTTTCAGATCATCCCTTTTTCGTTGGAGTTCAGTATCACCCTGAGTTCCTGTCCAGACCTATCAAGCCTTCCCCACCGTACTTTGGCCTCCTCCTGGCCTCCGTGGGGAGGCTCCCTCATTACCTCCAGAAAGGCTGCAGGCTCTCACCCAGGTGGGGTTACGCTCCCTTAGTCCCTCGAGTGGTCACTGATGCCTTCCAGCGGGCCATCATCACACCATCAGTGATGAGCAAAACCACAGGAACGGGGAGCCTTGCTGGGCGCTTCTCATGCTGACACGCAAGCTTCCTCTCCTTCTCTGGGGTTTTCTCAGGCTGCTTCTGTGCCACCCCTGGCCTTCCCCAGCCACCCGGCATGGTGGCCAGGTCTCCCCCTCTGCAGCATCTGGTGCCACGATCACATCTGGGACCCTGTAGTCAATGGGGAACCGTGTTTGTTCATCGGGGTGTCGGCCACAGCCTGGGTGGATTTCATGCCCTACTGCTACCTTTATCTGGAACCAGTCGGTTACCCTGTCTCGGTGGTTAGGGCATCATGACTGAAGTATAAAGCGAATGTGTATCTTCTGTAACAAGAAGAAGAAAATGCCTTTGCAGCTTTCTACTAAATATATAATGTCTCTGATTTCTGCTGTGTGCAGACAAGCATCCCTGTGGTAGTGGTGGCTATAGAATGAGGGAAGTGAAGCAAGTGTTTGGTGGGAGCTGATGGATAAACCATCTGAATTCTACAGGGACACCTACAGTGACAGAAGTGGGAGCAGCTCCCCTGACTCTGAAATCACTGAACTGAAGTTTCCATCAATAAATCATGACTGATGGTAACGTAAGTGATATTTTTAAGCTTTAGTTTTATTTTGTTTTCAATGGTGATAACAATAGAATTGTAAGGATATCCTGAAAGTTTAGTGTTGAAAATTTTCATCTGCCAGAGGGTGTAAGTGGTCAGGTCAGCATGGGCATCAAATGGGTGAGACCCCCCCCCCGCCCCGTCCCAGTTACAGTACATCTACCCACCCTGCTTTGGGGACTCCAGCAGGGGGACACCAGGCACGGGGCAATTGTCTCCTTGCCGATTGCTACATTCAGGTGCCAATCTGACCAAATCTGGGGGAACTGGATTCTTAGAGCCGTGTTATTTCATGTAGCTGTAAACTTGGAGATCTTGAAGGAGGTGACAGGTAGGAAAACATAGTGTCATTTCTGCAGACCCTCAAGCTTGCACCAGGAAGTGCTTTATTTTTAAAAGTAGTTTTATTTATTTATTTATTTTTTTGGCTGCATTGGGTCTTTGTTGCTGCGCACGGGCTTTCTCTAGTTGCGGTGAGCGGAGGCTACTCTTTATTGTGGTGCGCGGGCTTCTCATTGCGGTGGCTTCTCTTGTTGCAGAGCACGGGCTCTAGGCGCGTGGGCTTCGGTAGTTGCGGCATGCAGGCTCAGTAGTTGTGGCGCACGGGCTTAGTTGCTCTGCAGCATGCGGGATCTTCCCGGACCAGGGATCAAACGCATGCCCCCTGCATTGGCAGGCGGATTCTTAACCACTGTGCCACCAGGGAAGCCCCAGAAGTGCTTTAAAACCAATACATACAACACTTTTGTGTTGATTGCTGCTTATTCTTCAAATCCGTTAAAATCGGAGCAGTTATTGAACAAACTTGGAATATTTGTCTTTTGTGACCACGTAAGTTTATAAAGTGCAGTAGCTGTGGGCGACTGCCGAGAATTGTATAAATTCCCATTAAGGTAACTGAGCGAACTGTTGGCAGAAATATATACTCAGAAGGGGGCTGGGGCATCAGCCGGAACTCTGTGGGGTCCAAGGGAGAACCAGGGATGTGGGGGTCCCCCCACAGGTAAGATGAGCTCCTGCCTCAGGCACGGGCAGGTGACCTCCCTGAATCCTGCACACCTTGCCTTCTCCACCAGGGAGCCTCTTCACTCGCAGGTCTGCTCTCACGGTCCCATGGCCCCTAGCTGCCTGGCCTGTGATAAGCTTAGTCCGGTGGGTGACATGAGAAGTAGGTCTAAATCAGGAGGAGGGCATTGGTTGCCTACTCTGCCAGGTCAGCATTTAGCACTGATGTACTCATTAACCTTCACCAGATAGTTTGCTGTAGGCAGTTTGATAGTCTAAGTAACTGCGGTGGAGAGAAAGGAAACTTTGTAACAGTAAAGGGGTAGATATTTGGTCAATGATATGGAATTTCTAACTGCCTCCCCTGGAGCATGTATTCCCTGTCAGTGGCACTGTTAAGAGCCTGCTGCTGTGGAAAAGAACACTTGTATTGGGGCAGAGGTGGAGTCCATGTAAGGTCTTGAAAATGTATAATTCCATAGGAATCAGAAATTTAGCTTCTCATTCATGTTAGGCTCCTACTACGAGTGGTCCTCGATGAAAACCAGGCATAGTTTACCATAGCAGCTGGCTACAAATCCTAACTTCTTTACTTTAACATACATCATATAATTGCTCTTTTTTTTTTTTTAAACAGGGGTGATTCTTGAAGAGAGCCTTTGGACTTCAGGAGTTTACAGCTTTGATTTTACATTCAGCTTTTGACACTTCCTTTAAATTATGTTTTTATTAAGATTATTTTATTTTGAGGGAAGGTATTTGTGACTTGCATGTCCCGCCATGTGTCCCGGCTCCCGCACGCTGTGCTGACTGGTGTCCCACACTCTCCTTTGCGGTCCTCCAGCCTCGGGCGAGAAGCAGGACATCCGGGCGGAGCGGGTGATGGCCGGGTGCCAGGGGAGCCCATCGGTCACCGCGCTTCTCCAGCCACCTTGCGTCACTGTGGCTTCGAGCGTGTAGCTGTTCCTTCCCCCGATGCCGAGGCCATTATAAAAGGTGGGCCGTGCGGCCTGTGTGGGCAGAGAGGGGTGAGTCCAGCTGGTGCTCACAGCCCAGTGCCGGAACCCGAGGGCACTGCTTGAGCAAGAGCCGTGAAACCAGAAACAGAGTCGGCCCTGCCCTGTGCTGGAGGACTCGTTGTCCAAAAGGACGGTCAGTTTGGCGTCACACAGAACGGCAAGAACTCTGTCTCTCTGACGTCTGAGTTTAGAAGCCGCGCTTCTCTTCTCGGGAATCACTCCTTGCATCAAGGGGTCACTTAACAAAGAATCTTTTGGGGAAACTGCCTCTAAACCCCTCTCATATGGGGTTTTGCTCGAGGGAACTTTACAGCTTTGCTCAAGGGGACTTTTGCCTTCCAGAATGGTGTTACTACGGTTGAAATGCAATGTATGAAAAGCTATTTTCTTAATGTGGTATAACGACAGGCAGAGCTCGTGCCCATTATATCCTGGCTGGACTCGATGTATACTCTAACTTAAGAAATAAATAACGCAGAGCAAGAGACACACTTTGTTTGGAGTGCTTGTGTCGCAGCCGGGTGGGCGCCGTCTGAGTGCGGGCCCGGCGTGTGTGCGTCCCCTGAGCCGTCAGCGCCGGGCTGTCCTCCCCGGGAGCAGCAGCTGAGGTGGGTGATCTGATTGTTTAAAAGCTAAGAGAGGAGCCTTTCTTTTTAATAGGAACCAGAATTTTCCAAAGAGGCTTCAAATTTAGGTTCTCGGCACGTAGAGGTACAGAGAAGCCTCACCGCCCCCGTCCGCTCCCCGGCAGCCCTCCTGCACCCAGGCCTTCCGATTTCAGGTCATCGGCCTCGCTGGTTTTCCCTCCACAGTGAAATTCGAGCTACTGAATCCACGCTCCTCGTGGCACGTTGGCAACATTGGGACCACCTGCCCATGAGCCAGCTCCTCTGCAAAGTGTGTCTGAGGCCGAGGCTCAGGGCTCGGGCCGGGCTGTTTGTCAACGGTCGGCAGGCTTTGCTGGTTTTCATTTGGAAAGGGGGTGTTGGGAGAAAAATGTTTCTCACCATTTGGCACAGCCCTTCCATCAGAGGGACCCAGAAAGGAGGCAGGCTCCCTCTTGTCCCTCCATGCACTGGTCCGAGGCCACCATCACGGCTGAGGCCCCAGAGCCCGTGTGGGAATACTGCTTCCTGACCCAGGGCAACCCAGCTGCCTCTGTCCGTGTTTCTCACGGGCTGAGTTACAATGTCTTCACTTACAGAGGCCTTCATACTTGTTTGGGTGCTTTGAATGTGGCTGACTGGGTGAATTCTAACCCCTTCTCCCATCTGGTGGTCCCATCAGACAGTCTTCAGTCATTTTTATAAAAGCCATTCCGCAAACTGAGGGCTCTTACGCCTGTTGGTGACAGCAGCTCCATACGACAGTGGGCAATTTTCAAAGCCTCTCAGGGTCAGCTGTGCCCGCCCCTGCTTGGAGAAGTCCTCCGCTGACTGGTTGTGAAGTGCTGGCTGCTTGCATAACCTTTCTAGAGAAGGGACCCCCCCCCCCCCGCCCCCAGGATGGCTCTCCAGGGGCTGCAAAGCCCGACCAGCCTACCACCCTGGCTGTGGAGACAGGGCAGTAGCAGGGCCGAGGGCTGAAGCCGAGACTGCACGGAGGGTGGCCTGCACACCCAGTGTTGGCTGCCCAGTGCCCGGAGGCTTCTCTTTGGGGAGTAAGCCTGGCCTAGTCCCCCCACCCTTCTCTTCAGCACTGGTGATCCGGACAGGTTCTGCCTTTGTAGAGCACCTCCGAGGGCCGCAGTGCCTGGGCACCCTTGCGCCTGGCCCGAGGGGGGCGCTCAGCAGCGGGTCCCCTCTGACCTCTCGAGCTGCACATCCTCTGTGCAGGTTTTGTTTTTTTTTTGTAATTTTACTTATTTATTTATTTTATATATGGCTGCGTTGGGTCTTCGTTGCTGTATGTGGGCTTTCTCTAGTTGTGGCGAGCGGAGACTACTCTTCGTTGCGATGTGCAGGCTTCTCATTGTCGTGGCTTCTTGTTGCGGAGCACGGGCTCTAGGCGCGCAGGCTTCAGTAGTTGTGGCACGTGGGCTCAGTAGTTGTGGCTTGCGGGCTCTAGAGCACAGGCTCAGTAGTTGTGGTGCATGGGCTTAGTTGTTCCGCAGCATGTGGGATCTTCCTGGACCTCGAACCCGTGTCTCCTTCATTGGCAGGCGGATTCTTAACCACTGCACCACCAGGGAAGCCCCTCTGTGCAGTTCTTCAGTGGCTTCTGAGAAGCTGGCTCAGGCCCTAAGGTCAGTGACCCCGAGCAGTTCAGTGGGTTGGTAGTCCATCATGAGTTGGGCATCCATTACCACCTTAGGTACCTATAACCAGTGTGTTTGGTAAATGGGAAAACCAAGTTTCAGAGCAGTTGTGATTGGCCCACGAGGGGTCCTCTGTTGTCTACTCCATGGATGTGGCCAAGGACCTCTAGGCTGGGGGAGGGAGAGGGGATCACTGAAGTGTGTTCCATGGACCCCCAGTCCTGTGAAATACCCTCTTCGACAAAGTTTCATGGTTTTCTAGTGCCTCAGGCCCCAAATCTAGGAGTATCCTTGATTCTTTCATCAGCAAATATTTACTGGGCATCTGCCGCATGCCAGCTATGTTTTAGTTTCTAAACTTAAAGCAGTGGACAAAACAGACCAAAATCCCTGTCCCCATGAGCATGCATTCTAGTGAGGAGGAAACAACAAATAAAAGCTACAGTGTGACTGACAGGTGCTCTGCAGAAAGAAATAGATGGAAGCAGGGAAGAAGAGAGTAATTTGCAATAGAATGGGTAGGGAGGTTCCTTTCCACTTGAGGGTGGAGTATTCCAGGCGGTGGAAGCAGCCAGTGCAAAGGCCCTGAGGCCGGTGTGCTCATGAAACAAGTTGGTCAGTGTAGCTGGAATGCAGTAGCAAGAGGCAGGAGGCCTTGAGGGCAGGTGAGCCAAGTCAGGGGGGATTGTGTAGATTGATATTTGGGCTTTGCTCTTGGTGAGATGGGGAGCTCTTGGAGGTCTTTGAGCCCAGGCCTGTTCTAGAAAGAACCATTCTTGCCCGGGTGCAGATGTTGGCTTTATAGAGCCTCTGGCTCCACTGGTAGAGATGACAGGGGAAATGGCCAGAGCAGGAATCCTCTCCAGTGGCTGGAGGGTGCATGGAATGGAAGTCAGACCCTCCCTGTGCAGGTGTTGGTGTGTGCTGGAGAGAAGCAGGGTGCCCGCTGTCCCCTATTGTCCTGTAGATGAAGAAACTAAAGCAGAAGTATTGTGATTTGCCCTAAGGTACCCGTCTTCAAGGCGGAGATGGACTGGGACCCAACCATCCAGGCTCCTTACCCCCTTACTCCTTAGCTTTGTAGGGGGAGGAACTCAGGGCCCCCTGGACAGAAATGGGCTGGGCATGGGACTCTACCCAGCTGCATCCAACCAGCCAAGTGTTCTAGAAAGAACCATTCTTGCCTGGGGGCATGTGATTTATTACAGAGCTTTGACAGTCCCAAATCCCAGCAAGCCAGGGGTGGGTCTGCAGGGTGGCCTGTCCACCCTGTAACCGCAGTTATCAATGTACTTTGCCATCTGCAGAGGGGCTTTCCCAAGGTGACAAGTCCCTTTCTGGACCTGCCTAGCCAACGGGAGTCAGAGACCCAGAGGGACGGTCCCTTACAGCTCAGCCCAAGGAGAGCGCTGGCCAAGTTTTTACATGTTCTTTCTGAAAGTAAGTTGCCTTGGGGATCGTGCTAAGCACAATTTCTCAGCTACACAGATCGGGGTCTGCTCAGGACTGACACCACGTGGGGACCAGCCCGTGTGAGCACACTGTTGTAGAAGGAGCCAGCAAGTGCAGAGCTCCCATCCACCTCTGAGCAGCCCAGACTGGTTTTACTGGGGGGACGTAGGGTCAGTAGGACAGCCCTGTGTGTTCCAGGTAGAGTGCTGGGCCCTCACAGGACGCAGCAGGTGCAGGAGATGGGCTTGTACCGCTGCAGCTGCTGCTGGAGCTGCTCCTTCTCGGCTGTCAGCACCCGCAGCCTCTCCTCCAGCTTGCTCAGCTCAGCCGTCCACTTCTGAGGGGACATCGGAGAAGCGTGCCTAAGCTGACATCATCTCAGAACCGGGGCTGAACTGGTGGAGGAAGGGAAGGCCCAGAGAGCCTGGGGGGCCTGCTTAAGGTCTCTGGGCACCGTACTGGCCCTCGTAGGTGGAGGAGCCAAGTCCCCTGACCAAGTCAGCCCTGGGGTCTCGGGGAGAGTCCTGCCAGCATCCCAGACGCTGGGGTGACCTGTCTTCCGCAGCCTGCACAAGTACCGGGGCGGGCTCAGGCTGGCAGCCCCCCGCCATGTCCTTCTCCCTCTCTGTCAGCCCCTTAGCCTCTTCTGTTTTTCTGTCACCTATGTTTCTCTCTTGAAAAGGCTTTTCCTTGGGACTGTGTCCAAGTGCTGTGTCCAGCACTCACTGCCTCCCCGTCTTAAGGGCCTCCGCCCAAATGCAGTACGCAGCCCTCTGGTTTGTCTTAGAACTTCAACATTCCACTCTCCCGGCGGCCCCAGCTACACCGCAGAGGAGTACCGGAGGTAGCGGGGTTGTTGCAGTCCAGCCCCTGGGGAGCACCAGAGGAAACCTGACAGCTGCGAGCCTACCCAGTGGGTGGCCGAGGGACCCAGGGCCAGCGTGGCCCCTACCCTGCCTGCCTGGCCTGGGCCACTTACCTGCCTGCCCCACTCCTGGATGGCGCGTACGGACAGGGGGCCCTGGATGCTCCCGTCCCGCCGCAGGAACACCTCCCCCTGGTCCGTCTCGTAGAGCTGCGGCTGGGCCTGGGCCTTGGGGGCGTGCACGCTCAGGCGGATCACCTGGGGAAGGGCAACGGCAGCTCTGCGGGTGCTGCACCGGACGGTGTGCAGCCCCAATCCCGCCTCTCTGGCTCCGGGGCAGCCTGGGGGCGCTGGGTGCAGGGCTCACCTTGAGGGGGGTGCCGGTGGCAGAGGTGCTGACCACGGGGATGAAGGTGAGCTTGTAAGCGTCAGGGAAGACCTGGGGGTTGAAGCCCTGCAGGATGGAGTCCACCAGCAGGCGCACGCGGTCCTCGTCACGGTGGCTGCAGCGGATGCCCTGCACCAGGCCACTGTCCTCCACGCCCACCAGCAGGCTGCCGCCCTCGCTGTTGAGGAAGGCGCACACGTAGCGACGCAGGTGGTGCTTGAAGGCCTGGCTCAGGTACTCGCCGCCCCCCCTCTTGAACTCCACGTTGCGTGTCTCGCTGCCCAGGAAGGCGCCCTGGAAGAGGCGCTCCTGGCCCAGGATCTCTTGGTGCGCGATGGCGCTGTCTGAGCGCGTGCCACTGGGCCGGCCTGGGGAGTCCTGCCATGGGGTGGGGACCTGGGTAGGAAGGGGTCCGGCGAGCCAGGCCAGCCGGGGCCTGGAGCCCAGGATGGGGCTGGGGCTGGGGCTTGGGCTGCTGTCTTCCTTCTGCTGGGGTGGGGGATAAGAGCAGGGCATATGGGCCCAGGCAAGAGCCGGGAGCCCTGACCTTGGCGGCCAAAGGAGGGACAGGCAGCCAGAATCCCCCCGTCCACCTGCCCCATCCACCCAGGGCCCAGCCCACACGGGCGTCCTGACGCTCCTCCCAGGCAGAGGGGGCTAATTCTGCCCACCATCCCAAGGCCAATGCGGGAAACCCTGCTGGGTCAGGGGCTGGAACCAGTCAGTGCTCCCCTGAGGCTGCCCTCTGCCCAGGTGAACTATGGGATGCACATGGGTAGGAAGAACTGTCCTTCCCAGGTGGGACTTGGGACACCTGCAGCCATTCTTTTCCCACTTGGGTTACGGGTCAGCCTCTGAGGCGCAGGGTTGGATCATCCCAGGAGACACCTTGGCACCCTGAGGTCCCCTGTGACAGAGCTGCATGCCTGAATTGAGAGGGGCTCCCAGAGATGCCACCCTCTTCCTGATCTCCCTGAAAGCCTTGCTGAACCAGTCCTCCTGAATTTCCACTTTCCTCCGGCCCTCCTGAGTCCCTTTCACGGTTTCTGCTCTGTTCAAGGGCTCTGGGAGCAGCCTGCCCAGGGCCACTTCCCTGCTCTGGGCCTCACCATCGGACTCCCTGCCTCCAGGCTCTCCCCGTCCTATCCATCCTCTTCGCTGACCCCAGATGCAAGTCACACTGTCATTCCTCCCTTAAAACCCTTCCCTAGCTCCCTGCTGCCCTCCAGCCTCCAGAGGTGGCTTCCAGGGCTGGGAGCTCAGTGGGGGCTGGGGTGTAGTGATGAGAGGCACATCCCTACCAGCCCTGCAGCTCCCAGCGGAGACAAACTTAGCGGAGACTTGAGAAAACCACCAGCTATCATACAAACATGCCATCAGGCCACAGGTCTTGAAATGTAAGCCCGTTTAGCTGTTTAGCTCTGCAACAGTTTAAATGGCATGGAGTCTTCATCCCGAAGGAAAAGACAAACCAAGATCACCCATCCTGCGGAGTGACTACCACCGCCTCAAAAGTGAGTTGACTCTTCCCTCCCACCCCCACAGAAGCCGACCTTTTGCTGCCTCTGCCTTGGTCTCACAGCCCTTGGTGGCCTGGCCCCTGCCCTCTGGCCTGGTTTTCTTCCTCAGTCCCCCAGCAGCCCGAGCTCCAGGGACAGCACCCGGCTTCCCACCCTGCAAATGCATCCATCCCCACCCTGTCCCCTCATATGTGCCACATCCCTCTGCTGGGGATGTCCTTCCCCAAGTGCCTGTCCCATTGCCTAAGCCCCAGCCTGGATTTCACTCCCCGGGGAATTTGTCCCCAGAGAGCAGGGAGGACCCTCCTGGGTCCTCCTCCAGCTCCAGGCCTGCCCCCTCTTGGCTCATAGAAGCTTGGCTCCCTGAGGGCAGAGTGGAGCCTCTACTCTCTGCAGTACTGCCCGGCAGAGCAGGTGTTGGTTTTTGCAACTGAACCGATGAGGTCGGCCAAGGAGAAAGCCAGGACCCTTGCGTATCCTCGTGCCTGGGCTGACCCGGCCCAGAGGCCGGATGCAGACGGGCCCAGGGAGGGTTCGATACGCGGGTCTTCCTTCATGTGCTTCCAGGCTGGAGGCAAACTCTAAGGGTCAGTGTCCCTCCAGTGTCCCTCTGGGACCATAGTCATTTGAGTAGCAGCCCCCAAGTTTGCAGATTTGTCCCCAGTTTCTCCAAGACACCCCTCACCCCCACCCAGCACAGGCCATCCACACCCAGGCCTGCCGCGAGTGAGGCTAGGGGAAAGCCTCGCTCACCTCTCTGCGGTTTGAGGGCTCCCGGCCCTCACCCAGCACCAGCTCCTTCCCAGGGGCCACCAGCTCCTGGATGACCTGGTGCTCCTCCAAGGCCGTGTGTAGGCGCCAGGGCAGGGAGGCCAGGGTGTCCTCGTGGGCGGCCACCTGCACCAGCGCGTAGGCCTTGCGTGGCTGCCTCACCACCTGGATGTGCTCCCGTGCCACCGGCAGCTCCAGCCGCTCCAGGGCGTCTCGCAGCAGGCAGGCGAGCACAGGCACTGAGAACTGGGGGTTCAGGTGGCCCACGTAGAGAACATGCCTGCTGGGAGCCGCCTTGGTACTTGAGTCCTCAGACACGGACTCTTCTGTGGGGAGTTCCTGCAGGGGCCGCTTGCCTGGGGGCTCCATGAGGGGCTCCTGCACCTGTGTCGCGGTGATCTCTTCCTGGAGGTCTCTGGAGGGGTCTCCCTCGGAGGGGCTTCTGGGATTCCTCACCGCTGGCCACTCCTCCTGGGGCCCTGGGCTCTCGGGTCAGCCCAGGGCCTCCCAGGGGACTCGGAGGGGCCAAGGCTCCCGGAAGGTTCACAGATTGGCGGGGGCTGGGTGGAGCCAGAGAGCGAGGGTGGGCAGAGGGCCGCCACCCGCCCAAAGCCTCGGACAGGAAAGAGGAGAGTCAGACAGGGCTGAGCCAGAGAACAGAGCATGTGGACCTGCCGCTCCATCCCACAGGAGGGAGGACTGCGAGCCTGTGCTCCCAGCGGGGCAGAGGGGACCGGAACTCAGGTCTCTGAGGCACGCCTCCCCCCATCCTTTCACTGGCCCCAGTGGGCCTGTCTTCCCTCACCAATCCACAGGCTGGGGCCTCCTAGATGCCTTCAGGGTTTCCTGCCCAGCCTCCAGGCACCAGAGAAACCTTTTCAAGGGGCCTTTGGAGAAGCAGCCTTAACCCAGGGCTTTGAGGACTGGTTGCGGCCCCCCTGTGCTTCTCCTTGCCTGCTCTGAAGCCGGGGTGAGCCCAGCAGAGGTTCTGAAGGGGTCAGGCTGGGTCAGCGGGTTTTAGAGCGAGGTTCTTCTGCTTTGGGTACACTGATGAAAGCTACGGCCCCTCCCCAGAACGATGGCCTTTGCATATATACGTACAGTTCGACGAGGCTCATCTAGACCAGATCCTCTGGTTTGGGTCCAGAGAGCAGAAGTGAGGAGGGGCGGAATGAGGGTCAGAGCTGGACCCTCGTGTATGTCGCCCACCACCTCCCGCTAGGCCAGGGGTCCTCACTCCTGAGCTGAGCACATACGTGTACACACCAGCCCCTCCACTCGCCCCCATACACTCAGCCTCCGGTCTGCGTGGCAGGTGCCGCTGGCCTGCATCTTTTCAGATTGGATACTTGAGGCAGTCAGGGCCTGGGGGCCACCACTGCTGGAGTGGGGACGTTCAGGGCAAACGGGAATAGAAGGAATAGGGAGGCCTGTGACCCTCATGTCCTGATGGTTCCTGGGGGAGAGTGGGAGGTGCCAGCCCTCCGCTCCCACAGACCCCTGCCCCCTGCCCAGCAGCTCCCCAGGGTGCTTGGGGGCTTGGCTCAGGGAGGGGGAACCAGGGCTGTAAGAAGTGGGTGGGGCCTGTGCAGCCACCTCTGTGATCTCAGGAGAGTCAACAATGCTTCTAGGCTTGGCAAGGGAGCCAGGAAAAGTCCTCCCTACTCCCCACCCCAGTGTAAACGGACATCTCATGCAGCTTCGTGTGGGGCTTCTTCGGGGCAGCTCCTAGAACCCAGGGACTGAAGACATACTTCCTCCTTCTGTCAGGTCTCTCCGGGCCCTCCTGCCCACGCAGGTCCCCACCTCAGTCACCAATCCCAGGCTCCCCTGAGCACGGACAGGGCCCAGCTGCTCCCAGAATGGATCAGAACGCAGCTGGTTCCACGGCTCCCCTGACACCAGGCTCTTCTCTTTGCCAGAGATGGAGGTTGCTGTCCAGAAGAGCCCTGAGAAATAGGTCAGGCGCGGCCATGTCTTTTGAAGGACAGGGTTGTCACCTGCTGTTTGACCGGGGACCAGGACTCGGGCGATGCAGAAATCTGTTCTTGGGTGGGTGGGGGCTTTGAAAGTGCTTTTCATGATGCAGATGTAGGTAGCACTTTCCCACACTGCTTCTGGAAGTCTCGATGGGGTGAGGGGACGGGGGGTGGTGGTGGTGTCCAGAAGCGGATACTGCAGACTGGGGAAGCTGCTTGACAGCATGGGGAGAAGGCTGCCTCTTTCTCTGAGCAGCCGTTCTGAAGATGCTGATGAATTTGTTTCCCTGAGAGACTGAGGCAGAAGCTTGGGTGGGGCACTTGAGAAAGGAGACTGTGGCGTGGAGGAAAGGAGGAGGCCCGAGGCCCCAGGTGGCGGCACTGAGGCTCGGGGGAGGGACCCAGCAGCCAGGGCTGACCCGCCTCTGCATCCACGGCCGAGAGTTACGGAATAACGGCTCTAAGCTCTCCAGGCTTGCCCCTTTCTCTCAGGCCTCTCTGGGCTCTGCCATCACGAGCTGCCCGCACAGTGACAAGCGGGGGCTGTGGCTGTCTTGGACGGTTAACGCGAGTCATGATGAGTTATGCAGAGGCAGACAGCTGGCCGGGAGAGGCGCCCTGACGGATGGGTACACACGTGGCTGTACCAGAGAACACAACGAACACGCGAACATAACATACTTCTCTAGGGGCCTCGCTATCAGGCAGCTGTTTGGCATGAAATTTCCCAGACTGATCTGAGTGCCAAATCTTTCCCCATTCTTGCTGGAAATCTCTTTAAACGATTGTATTACATATTTCCCTGGGCTCTGTTAACAGCCTTACGTGAGCTGAACATCAGTTCCACTTCTTTATTGGCGGGGGTAAAAATGGTCTTTCATTGTAAGCATTTACAAAATGATATTTCACATACTGAAATGCACCGCAGTGTAAACTGGGTTATTTACAGCATCTCAGGCTAACAGCTGGGGGATGGCGGACACGAGTTCAGCGTTGTGGAACAGCAGCCCCTTTTAGTCCTCTCACTGGATGTCTGTGACCTTACTGACAACCCCTACTTGGCACTGGAGGAAGAAAACCTCTTGAATTTAAAGTTAAGAATGAAAGGTGGGTGGGAACTGCTGCACAGCACAGGGAGATCAGCTCGGTGGTGGTTTGTGATCACCTAGAGGGGTGGGATAGGGAGGGTGGGAGGGAGGGAGACGCAAGAGGGAGCAGATATGGGGATATATGTATACGTATAGCTGATTAACTTTGTTATACAGTAACACTAACACACCATTGTAAAGCAATTATACTCCAATAAAGATGTAAACAAATATATAAAGTAAAAGAATGAGAAAAAAAAAAAGAATGCAAGGCGGGCCCGAAGATGAGGGGCAGAGGGAGGCTGGGATAGGGCTCTTCTCACGTTACCTGGACTGTCCACTTGGTGGCGCCTGTGGCTGCGATCCTCCACACGGTAGCAAGCATGGGTGTCTGCGCGAACCAACCAGGGACCCCAGCTGAGGGGCAGGGGACGGGGCAGGGGCGAGGGCTGAGCTCAGCCGTTAAGTGGGAGAGGACAGGCTGTCAGGAGAACAGACTGGAACTCAGGGGAAGAGTGGGTGTGGACGCAGCCTTCGCCATCCCGGCCCCGGGACGCTCCAGCCTCAGTCTTGACTCCTCCCCTTGCCTACCAGCGGCTGCCTGTTGATTCCTGCCCATCCTTTGACAGGATCAGCCCAGCTGCCCACAGATATCTCGGGCCTGGTGTCTGTACCCTGGGACCTGCTGGCCGCTGGCCCCTGGCAGCATCCTCGGTGGCTTTGGTGTTGGAGGACAAGCACACACACACACAGTTCTCACGCTTGGCCTGGACGTTTCCAGCTGGGGAGCTTCCCTGATGGGATGGGGTGACGGGGCATTAAGGTAAGGAGGCTGCAAAAAAGCTGAGGGACAACAGGGGCAGGAGGGAGCGTCTGGAGTCTCCTAGGCGACAGTTTTCCGCGCTTTCAACTTTATTTGTGAGACAAGGGGCAAGTCACCTGTGGCTCTTCTGAGGAGGGGTCGTGGCATCGGGCACGAGGGCAGAAACTGTGTCCACTTGGCCCACCGGTGACACAGCCCAGAGAAGGGTCTCTGGGACACTTCCGCTTAGGACTAACAGCCTGGGCAACAGAGACAGAGCGGAGCCCGGGGACACGGGCCACACAGGTGGGGAGGGACCACAGGTGGGGACGGGGCAGAGAGGTTCCCCAAGGATTCAGCCCTGAGCGGAGCCTGTGCTCTTCTCTCCTGAAGTGCCGGGGTTTTTCCTTCCTGATGTTCCTCAGCAGCGGAGTCAATGTCTCTCCTTGTCATGGCGATGAGGGTGGGCCCAGGAAGCTGCTGCCGGAGGCCTCTGTCCCCCAGTCCCACTTCCCCACACGCCTTCCCGCTTTGTGGGTGGCTGCCCTGTCGGGATCAGTGGTGTGGTCTCACCCACCGGACACCATTTCAGCTTCTTTGGATGACTCTGGGTCACTATTAGAAGGCTTGGCTTTGTGAAACAGTTTCAGAAGTCGAAGTTTTGGGTTTTTTTTTTGCTTTTTCTCTTAAATGACGTTCAATTGTGACCCGAGAGGTTAGGGCAGCATGAGTGAAACGGTAACAAATCCTTTCCCCTTCTGCAGAATTTGACATCTGGTTACCCTTCTAGTTCTGTTCCCTTGGAAACCAGATAAAAATGGAATGTCAACCATTTCAAGGCAACAGTGCTTATGATAAAAATGACCCCTAACTGTAAATCACCTGGTCTAGGAGTGCTGTGCATAGACTGTAAATAGCCCTCCTGCAGGGCTTCCCGAGCACAGGGACCCAGTAGGCACGTCCCTGACGGGGACCTGGAAGCTGTGCCTATGGCACTAGGGAGTCACTGGCTGCCCTGTGGCACGATGCTTCTAAACCAGGGTGAACCCCACTTCTCCCTAACATGTCTTATCCCCTTGCACCTGAGCTGTCACCTGGGCAACAAGGAATGGTCGTGGATGACTGTGGGCTCTGCAAGGACTGCTCCACCGGAAAGGCCTGCTTCATGCTGGCAGGGTGTCTGGTCTGTCTGCAGCGTGAGCGCCACCCCCAGTGTAGCCTGTGGGAGTCGAGTCTGCATGGTTAGCAGGACCCAAGGCAAAGGCTGCCTGGTGGGTGTGGCAGGCAGTATGCTGTCTCGCACCCCTCATTAGCTGTGGAGTTTGGGGCAAATATTATAACTTCACCTCTCTAAGCTTTAGTTTCCTCATCTTTAAAATGGGGGAACATGGTGGTTATCTCAGAGCTGTAAGCGAGGTTTAAGCGGGCTAACGTCCACAAACGACTTAGCACCAAGAAGCCCTTAACGAGTGTTCCCTGGAAAGGTGAGCGTGCCTGCTGACGAGGGACAGGGTGTGGGTGGGAGCCATTTTGCTCCACAAGCCCGGCCTGGCAGCACACCTGGCCTGCCTGCATACGCTGGTGTCACCTTCACCTCCAGAAGTTTGTCGCCAGGGTCCAATAAGGCCCCCTTTGGGAGTACCCTGAATAAATAGCACAGCTCACGGGACACAGGTCCAGGAGTCTGTGGAAAATGGGCTTCTTCTAGTTCGGCAGCCCCGACCCTGACTGCTTCACGGGGCCCGTGATTAGAGCCTCACAGTGGCCGAGTGGAAAACGCCACGCTGGAACTAGTCGCTGGTGAGGGCTTGTAGGATCCTCAGAGGTCTCCTCGTCGAGCCCCCTCAGAGCCAGACGGGCCCACAGGAGGGAACTGACCCACCTGAAGCATCACATAAAGCAGCTGCACTGGCTGGAACCTCGGCCCTGGCCTTGGAGTCAGATTCCTGGGCTTTAAATGCCTACTTTGGCAGTTCCTGGCTATTCGATCAGAGCTTAAGTTTCCTCATCTATAAAGTGGGTCTGTTGTGAAGATTATATGAGATCGTTCTAATTCAGATGGCGCAGCTGGTGGGGCACACAGCGATGTGTTAGTCATTATCAGGTTACCCTGCACTGTGCTGCTGCCCCACACCTTCTCCTCCTGGGGCCCTTTATAAACAGGAAAGTGAGGTTCTGGACTGGAGCACTGGCCCCTGGACGGCGCAGGAGGTGCCCTGCAGGCTGGCCTGCATCTCTCCTCACCCCTGCCACTGAGGCTCCTTGGAGCTGTTGACCCGAACGCTGTCCTTCCTGCTCGGCCTTCCTGTGGCTGCTTCCTCCACACTGCTGTCTAGCTGCACCAGAGCACAAAGCCCTTTGAGGGCAGAGAATGGACCTCATACCATCTCACCAGGGGCTACGCCATGCTGGGGCCCCAGTGGGCACGTGGCAGACAGCCTGTTCTCTAGGGATTGCTGGAGTCACGAGAACTCAGGGAGCATCTTGTCCAAATTTCCTCGTAGATAAAAACGAGGAGCAAAGACCAAGACAAGGGGAGTGGCCTGCCCTTCGGAGGCACGCTGATTATCTGTTGACCGATTACAAAGACACTGGCATCTATATTGTTTTTTATTTATAAACAAATTGACATAAAATAAGTCCAGATGGCAGCGGGGGCAGCTGTGCTGCTGACTTGCTTATAAAGGAAGCATGTGGACAGTGGAGTGGGTACAACCAGACTCCAGCCTAGAGACCCCTTTCTCCCATCCATCTCAGGGCCTTCTTGGCTTAATATCATTGGGCCCAACCTTCTTCAGCAGAAATTCTGGCCAGGGCAAGGGAGCTGCGGTGGGGACAGTGCAGGGCAGGGACTCCCATTCCCACAGACGAGGCCGAGGCTGCAGAGGGCCCAGCGGAGGAAGAGAGGCAAGGGGACAGGGACCCTAGGTAATGTCCTCTGAAAAGGGGCCACACCGCTCTGGAGAGGGCCTGTCTGGGGCCGGGGCAGGGCAGTCTCCCTCCTCCTGAAACCCAGTGTCTGGAGCGAGAGGGGTATGAACTGGAGGGCTTGCCCAAGTGCCAGAAACAATAAATTAATAAGAAAAGATCTTTTCTTAAAAAAGGTAGAGGTCTGCACCATGAGTTTGGAGTCCGCGGATCTCGTGAGAAGAAGGCAGGAGCCATGGGGTAATGGGGAGCCACACCAGGCCCAGCGGGTGGTGAGGGGACCGGGCACGAGTGTCACTTCAGGGCCCCGTCTTCCGAGGCCTCAGGGGTCAGCCCCTTCCTCCATCACTTGGAAGGCGTTCAGTCTAAATTCCTGGGGAGAGGCCGGCCAGGCCTGAGCAATAAATACAGGAGACCTCAGAGCCGAGGCAGGGCTGAGGGGAAGAGCAGTGGCAACCCTGGGCCCCATGCCCGTCTCGGCCCTTCATGGAAGGACATACCATGGCAGGAGGGGCAGTGCTGGCAGCTCCACACAGCCTCCTGGAGTCCTGAGGCAGCCTCGGACCCCACTGAGGTGCCCGGGAGGGGGCCGATGGCCCTCCTTCCTGGGAGAAGGATGGCCCCTCTGCTCGATCCCTCGGTTGTCTGGGCTGCGTCTCCCTGTTCAGAACTTGCCCTGCTTCAGCCGGTCAATGTGGTAGGAGAGCTTGAGTGCAGGCCCCAGCTTCAGACCCATGTACTTCATCATCATGTCACTGCGCAGCAGAAGCAGGGCCTTGCCATCGATCTCCTGCGGGGATGGAGGGAGGCGTCATCAGACCTGGGTGGTCTGACCACCCCAGGTCCTGATTAAAGGCCACCCGGGGAGATGCCAGCCACGTGGCAGTGAACCTGCTGCAATGCTACAGCCTACCTGTTCTCCCCAGCGTCTGTCTCCAGCCACCCCTCCCCAGCGTCTCCTACTGACCCCTCCCCGGGTTAAGCTCTTCACACACGTTTATAGGAATCTCCTTTCTCTGCTGCCCGAGAGGCAGTCTCCCCGGATCCCAAACCTCTGAGGTCAGCTCAATTCCGTCTCCTCCCAGGCGGCCTCCCCAGTCAGTGTACTTGTCACTCATCACGGACTATTTCTGTATCGCCCCTCAAGGGCTATCGGGTGAGTCACCTTCCTTCCTGAGCAGCAGGGACCCCTCCGTGTGAGCCAGGCACAGAGCAGGCACTCGCTGAGCAGCTGTGAGACCTTCAGGCCTGACCTAAGAGCACCCTCCAAACCCACCTGGCCTGAAGGAGTGAGTGACCAGTGAGAGTGCCCCAAGCACAGGACAGCACCAGGCGGCAGGGGCTACAGGGAAGTGGGCTTGAGCCCCAGATGAGGAGTATGGTCACTGCAGGGGGGTCAGCAGCAGCCCCTGGCCACAGGGCCAAATGGCCACTTGAAGAGATGGAGGCGGCTCAGAGTGGAGAAAGTAGAGGATGGGGTTCTGATGAGGTAGGAGAGTTGGGGGCCACCTGGCAAGAGACTCTTTAACTTGGCCTTAGGCCACAGCAGGTAGCTAGGAGAGCAAGTGCTCCTAGGAGAGGACAGTCCTGTCCCTGGGACCCAGTAGGAGTGTGGCTGAATCAGATCCTACACTAAAGGAGTGAGCTGAATTCAG